ACGGCACTTCCGCGAAGCGCAGGGCTCGAACGCCGACTCCGCCCTCCCGCCCCGCCAGCTCCTGGCTTCTTTCGTTCGGACAGTGGCCCACACTAGCTCCAGGGAGATCGGGATGAGAAAGGAAAGAGACGACCCAGGAAGTAGGGGGCCCCGAGCCTCCAGGACTGTCAGCCTTCAATGGGAGTTACCTCTCGCCCCGAGGGTCTGGAGCGTCGCGCTCTCCCCCGCCAGCCACCGCCGCCTCCTCGCCTCCGGTCACCCTCCTGTCTTTTCCGTGACGCCAGTGGATGAAAACCCCAAACGTTTGCAAATTGAGGGGCTGCAAGGAGGGTACCAGAGGAAGGGGATTGAGGAAGGGGGCGTGGAGAGCCGCAGACACTCGCTTCCCCCCCCTCACCCCTCCGTCCCTGTCCCTGCCCCAGCGGGACTGGGCGGCGGTGCAGCCCTGGACTGTTCTCTGGAGCCTCGCCCACACCGGCCGCTCCCCGAGCCAGCAGCGTCCTCAAGGAAGAAGCCTCAGCGGCCTGGGATATTGGCCGCTGCGGGTCCTAGTACCTCAGCCAGAGCCAGGAGCACCCCTGCCTTGGGAAAGTTCTTTCATGGAAAAAGACCAAGACCCTGAATCTTGTAGCGACAGAAACAAGCCCAGACACCACCCGATTCCGTGTTGCTTCATGCAGCGGTGGGGACGGGGTGTTCAGTCTTTGGCAGCAGCAGCAGCAAGGAGGAGGGAGGGGTAATGGGGGTAGACATCCAAGAAGAGGCAAGAAGGATTTGATCCTTGCTCAGCCCATCCAGAACACTTTGGGCACTGACTGCCAGGCACTGTGCCTACAGCACAACTCATTCCGGGTTCCTGCCCTAGAAGGCTTACAGTTCACCCTCTTATCCTTAATTCATCCATTCTGTCTCTGTTTCATTCATTCAATCGTGCACTGAAGGAAGCATTAACTAACTAGCTATTCTGTACCAGGTCCCTGGCTACAAAGTCGAATGAGATATTGTCCTTACCTTCCAGGGGCTCAGGTGTGTCTGGACAAGTAGACAGAGGCTCTTTGCCCAATGTGACCAGTAACATAAAATGTGCTTGGGAGTGCACAGAACCCAGCCTGGATGGAGCAAGGATCAGGGAAAGCTTCCTAGAGGAGATGTTGTGAGGCATAGGCCTCAGTTCCTACTCCCCTTCCTGGCTATGCCCTGGAGCCTTGCCTACCCCTAGCTAGGATTCCCTATCATTCTCACTCTTCCCACTTGATGCAGATTAACTGGCAGAAGGCAATACTGCTAAAGGTGGACACCTTTGGCTGTTTTGAGGGGTGTGATTTGCAGGCCTCTAGCTTCAAATTCATTGGTGCAGTGAGTAGATCCAATTCCCTGTGCAGGGCTGGTATTTGACCCAAATAAAGTATTTTGTACAAACCCCAAAAGCCCAGGTATTAATTTGCACAGAGAAATAGAACTGTCAGGGAAACCTGAATTTTTGCACCAATGGAATAAAGCAGTTTGGGCTGCTCCTTGGGAAGCACAGTTACCAGAAGGTTAGCAGAGTGAACCTGGAACCCCTAGAATGAGAAAGGGGATGGTATGTCAAGTCTCAAGGAAGAAACCTTGAATTCGTATCCCTCTCTACAGGGGCAGCCTTGATGCTAAGGACTCAATTTATCCCAGTATCACCATGACCAGAGTCTGAATACATGTTTCTCCCAGCTGCTTTGGGATGCCTCTTTTCTGTGATCTCTCTTCTGTTCACAAAGCCTCTCTCCAAGCTGGGTTTAACAATAGCAGCTACTTCCTTAGAGACACTGTTGTAAACATCTTACCTTTATTAGCTCATTTAATACAATTGGGATTTCTGGTCATACAACTAGGGTCCTAATCCAGCCCCAGCCCCTTGAGAGACCCCCAGCCACCACCTTGATGGTCTTTAATTAATTCCCACACATTTATAGACCAACTATCTTTGCTTTACTCCCACATCTATTCTGGGTGGGTTTTTCTAACTTTCAGGTGCCAACCTTATTTCCAGGTACTTATGGAAAACTTCAGCCTCACAGACATTTCCAGAACTTGTATCTTCCATTCCCTCCCTTCCAGGGACTCTCTTCAAGCCTAGGAGTTACAGAGCCTCTGGTCACATGTATCTGGAAACCACTAACCTTCGTGGTTTCCCTACATTCTGTCCATTCTGTTGGGAAAAGTTCCTTTATTAAATTCTCTTCACATTATTATAATTGGAGTATGGTCTCTTTTTCCTGCTGGGACCCTGAATCCTGCACCAGAAACAGCTTCCATTTCCCCATCCAGGCATCCAACTTTCCTCCTTTAGGAAAGGAGTCAGCAAGGGAGAACCATGAGACTCCTCTTTCATCAGCATTTTACTGCTGCTCTGATGGTCCTAGCTACTATCTTTCTCACCTAGATCACTGTAACAGCTTCCTAGTAGTCTGTTTCCACCTCTGTCTCCAGATAATCTGTTCTCAACACAGCATCAGGGTGATCCTTTTAAAATACAAGTTAGCTGTCAATCCTGTACAAAACCCTGCAGTGCCCTTATCTCTCTCAGCATAAAATGTTCTTACAAGGGCCACAAGCTTATCTGAATTCCCTTTCCTGCCTGCCTAGCCCACTCTGCTCCAGCCAAGATGCTGTTACTCCTCTTCAGACATGCCAGGCACATTCCTGTCTTAAGGGATTTGCACTGACTGTTTCCTCTTCCTGAAATGCTCTTCCCTTAATATATTTAAGGCTATCCCTAGCCAGTTTGGCTTGATGGATAGAGCGTTGGCCTGGAGACTGAAGGGTCTCAGGTTCGATTCCGGTCAAGAGCACATGCCTGGGTTTCAGGCTCAATCCCCAGTGGGGGGCCTGCAGGAGGCAGCCAATCAATGATTCTCTGTCATCATTGATGTTTCTATCTCTTCTCCCTCTTCCTTCCTCTCTGAAATCAATAAAAATATATTTAAAAAATTTTTTATTTAAATATATATATGAGGCTAAACCCCTACAAAATATCACTTCAATAAGACCTACCCTAACATATCCTATTTAAAATTACAGCCCATCCTCACCCCAAGCCCTCCTAAATCCTGCTGAGTTTTGTTTCATAACACCACCTGATAACATATATAATTTACGTATTTATCATGTTTGTCTGGGGAGAAGGAAGTTAGCCAAGAGTCCTGCTGCAGACATGTTGAGCAAGAGTTGGAAGGGGGGGGGGCGAGAGTTGGAAGGGAATGAGGCTAGGGTAATATGAAAAGTGGAGATAAAGTGCAAATTGGGAGAAAATATTTGTACTACATATTACTGGTTAAGGATTAATATCCATAATATATAAAGAGTACCTTCAAATCAATTAGAAAAAAAGCAAGGAATCTATATGAGTGGTTATTTGTTTTTTACTGCACTATTGTAAGAAATTAACACAAATTTATTTTCTTAGAGTACTGGAGATCAAAAATCCAAACTGGATCTCACAGGGCTTAAATCAAGGTGTCAGCAGGGCAGTATTCCTTCTGGAAGGTCTAGAGAAAAATCTATTTCTTTGCCTTTTCGGGCTTCCTAGAGGCTCACCATACTCCTTTGCTCCTGGCTCCCTTTCATCTTCAAAGCCAGTAATCATATCATTCAGACTTCTGCTTCTATCAACATATCTCTTCAGGCTCTTCTGCCTCCTTCTTTCACTTAAAAGGACCCTTGTGATTACAGGGGACCCACCCAGATAATCCAGAATAATCTCATGATTTAAAGATCCTTAATTTAGTCATGTCTGCAAAATCCCCTTTGTCACATAAGGTAACATTCACAGGTTCTGGGTGGATATCTTTGGGGGCGGGGGGAGCATTATTCTACTTACCACACAATCCAATAGAAAAATAGAAGACATGAAGAGGCATTTCAAAAAGGAGGGAACACATATGAAACCATTATTCATCAGGGAAATTAAAATTAAAATCACATTGAAATACCATCACACACTTCCCAAACTGGCAAAAATTTTTAAAAACTAACAATCAAGAATGAAACACACCCAGCTGGTGTGGCTCAATGGTTGAACATCGGCCTGTGAACCAGGAGGTCTCAGTTCCTTTCAAGGTCAGGGCACATGCCTCAGTTTCTGGCTCAGTCCCCAGTGGGGAACGTGCAAGAGGTAGCCAATGGATGATTATCTCTCACTGATGTTTCTATCTCTCCCTCTCCTTTCCTCTCTGAAATCAATAAAAACATTTTTTAAAATATTGTCAAAACCGACAAACATAAATATGCTTTTTTAAAAAATAATGAACAAAGGGAACTCTCATGCATTACCAAAGGAATATAAATTGGTACAATCCTCTTGTTAAATAATTTGGCAATATAGGTGCACTCTCCCTATAGGGAGCACACCTATGCCATCCCTTCCCCCTCTTCTTTCCTCACTTCTTCACCCACAGGCACTCATCTCCTAAACTCTAAGGGTCCCCAGGAGACTTGCAACCAGGGGAGCAATGGACAGGGGCAGCTCATCCCAGACTAACCCCCTGAACCTATCTTTAAGGCCCCCTTCTCTGACTTCCCAGTGAGCTAAGGCAGCCCAGCCTAGGCTCTCCTGTCACTTCATTTATGCTAAGCCTTTCCTTGTTTTACTGTCCCCAGTTTTAATAAACATACCCTCATAGTCTAAATAAAGAAAAAAGAAAAAACCAATTTTGCCAATGTCTAATAAGATTGAACATGCACATACTTTAAACTCAGCAATTTTGCTCCAAGATGCATACTAGAAGTTACTGCATATGTGCAACATAAGACCTACAAGAATGTTACTAGCAGCACTACTAAAAAATAGCCCCTCCAAAAAAAAACCTTTCCTCTCTAAAATCAATTTTTTAAAAAAATTTATAAAAACCAAAAACTACAGCTACATATAATAAACTCCGTGTGGTGTGATTTCTTCTAAGCAACACTCCTCAAATATTGTGTATGTACAAAATACCTGGGGGTCTTGTTAAATGCAGATTCTGATTCTGTAGGTCAGGAGTAGGGCATGAAATTCTGCATTTCCAACGACCTCTCTGCTGGTGCACAGGCTACACTTTGAGTGGGAAGGATGCATATTTAGAGATGCATGTATAATGAGAAAACTATTTTTCTTTCTTTTAAACAAAGATTCTGGAGAACAGGTACCTTTACCTCTGGTTGGGAGAGTAGGTAGATGAAATGGTCCAGGTGACATTTTCTTAAACTGGCTGTTGGGTTTATACGTATTCATTATACTTTATAACTTACATATGAAACATATATTATTTTTCATAGATCAAATATTACACCTTAAAAGACAATGAAAAGCGTACAAAAAAAAACAAAACAAAAAATGATTAGGGAAGATGCTAGGTGGCGTCAAAGGCTTGAGCAAATGAGGAGGTTAGTCGGGCAGCGCTACACTCAGATACAAACTACAGATATAACTAGCTGAAACAGAATTAACTTCGTTAACTCAGGCCTAAGTGACCACATATCCACCGTCAAGCAAATTCGTTTGCGTCCATACTGCAGGCTACGGGCTTGTACCTACTATCCAAGTTTCTCAAACTTCAAAAGTTTCTCAAAGTAGCACTCCTGTCAACAGTGCAGATTTTCAGTTGGCTCCCGTGTAGATCCCGATTCTGCCCTGTAGGAAGCGGCCAGAGAATCTGTATTTCAGAGGTTCGCTGCATCCCACCCCCTTTAGCACAGAAAAATCGTTCCTCCCGCCGGGTGAAGAACCTGGCTCTGGCATCTGTGGGGACTGCCAGGTCAGCCCACAGGCCGGCAGACTCCGGGAGGCCCTCTGCCAGGGGTCCTCAAACTACGGCCCGCGGGCCACATGCGGCCCACCGAAAACATTTATCCGGCCCGCGGCAAATTGCCGCCGCTGCCTGTTGCTTAGCAGCCGACTAGTTTTTTTTTTAAACTATAGTCCAGCCCTCCAACGGTCTGAGGGACAGTGAACTGGCCCCCTGTTTAAAAAGTTTGAGGACCCCTGAAAGTACACAGTGGAATGAACCCAACGGTCAGTTAGTACTACGTATACCCAACCAACCAAATGCCATCTTCCCTCTTCCTCGCAACTCACCTGTTTAGCTCTTATAGGGGAGACTCCCTTGGGAGTCCCTAAAAGGCAGACATCTAATGAGAGAAAACAATTATGGCATCCGAGGACTGGTTCCTAGCAATTTAACACTGCTCCGCCCCACCACACACACCCGCTCCGCCCTCCCCCCCGGAGAGAAACGCGAGATACATTGTGGGGGCGTGGCCCCACTCTCACCAATGGAAATTGGGGACGTGGTCGTGAGCCTTTTTTTCATTGGCCCAGTTGCGAGGGCAGCCGGGTCTTCTCGCGCCAAGGCGGAAGTCGCACGGAAGCCGGAACTCACTCTCAGCCTGGGGTCCTAGGGAGCTGGCATCCGCCATCATGGTGAGGAAGCTTAAGTTCCACGAGCAGAAGCTGTTGAAACAGGTGGACTTCCTGAACTGGGAGGTCACTGATCACAACCTGCACGAACTGCGCGTGTTGCAGCGGCACGAGGACTACACGCGCTACAATCAGTTGAGCTGATCTGTGCGGGAGCTGGTGCGACGCCTGGGCGACCTGCCTGAGTGTGACCCGTTTTGCGTCCGCGCCTCGGCTGCGCTGCTGGACAAGCTGTATGCCCTCGG